GGAGAACTTGTGGTGGATTTTATATGTCAGCACTGCTGTGGGTGAAAGACCGTTAGAGACATCAAAACTCAACTTACATTGCTTCTGATTGGTTTATGTTGCATCACACATAAATGTCATGTGTGGCGTGAAAATGGGTCAAATTGCGTGACTGTCACACTCAATGCATGAAGCTTGGCAGCCATGTTGTAAAAATAATGAAATTGTAATCTGACTAAGAGGGGGTTTATGTGATTCAGAATCTGATCAGTATGTTTGTAAAGGCTTGGCAGGAGGAAGTTATTTTACCAGCTGACCTGAGTATGCATGTTCACCAGGCGCAAAGCTGATGCATTTCTGCATTGAATGGCAAGATGCTACATCAGAATATTCCAAGTAGCATGTTACATAAAGCATTTTCAGAATCAGAATCAACTTTTTTGCCAATTAGGTTTGCACTTACAAGGAATTTGACTTGTTGTTGATGGTGCAGAAAAATGATTTCTCATAGGCGAAGCGATTACACTCCAGAGCAGAAGGTGGCGGTACTGCGACCAAAGCCAACCGCCAGTAGTAAACAAGAAGAAGAAGAAGCGAAGCAGCGTAGCCGGGTGTAGCAGGGAAAAATCAGTTGTTGTGGAGAATTATGTGGGTATGGCGAGTGGGAAAGAACAGGAGTTGGAAGACGCGCCAGCAGCACTTTATAGGTCTGCTGTATGGGACCACTTTGCATTTAGAGTGACCTACGATGACGGCGGGAAGAAAGTTGTGGATAAAAGTGCAACAGTGTGCAAGCATTGTGCAACACGTTTTGTTTATGCTAACAGCAACATAACCAACATAATAATAATAATAATAATACATTTTATTTGAAAGCGCCTTATCACAACACCCAAGGACACTGTACAGGCAGATAAAAACATTAAAAACAGGAAGCTAAAAAGTACAAGCATAAAGATGCCACAGAAAACAAAGCAGCAGGAAGTAAAATAAAACCAAAGGAAGAAAAGGAAGAGAATAATATTGGAATGATGCGTAAGAACTAGGTGGGATAGGACTGTCTGAACAGGAAAGTTTTGAGTCTGGATTTGAAAAGAGGGAAGGAGTCCAGAGTATGGAGATCCGGAGGGAGGGAGTTCCAGAGGTGGGGAGCAGAGCGACTAAATGCCCGGTTCCCCATTGTGACCAACATGTCAGGCTAACCCCGAAATCCCACATACTCCGTCAGCGTTCCGCCCCGCTGCGCTCCAGACAAAAAGCTCAAAGCAAAGCCTACAGCCTCCTCTGTGGCTCCCGTCCGCTCCGCTCTGAGTCCCTTGGAGATCGTAGAGTGCATGCGCCAGATGATTAAATTCAGTGCTGCAAAACATGCGGAAATGATCCAGGGTTTCCGTGGATCATTAAAAATAATTGCAATTCATTAACTTTTTTTGGATCTTTTTTCATTAATTTTCATGGGATTTCGGGGTGACAATCAACATATACCGAACCGAAAACCATGAACCGAACCGAACTGTGGATTTTGTGAACCGTTCCAGCCCTAATAGGAACCCTGTAAATGTTTTAATCGAGAGCAAAGTGAAACTGGTGCAAATGAAGACGAATTGTATCAACACATTCTGTAAAAATGGCAGAAAGGAATTTGCAGAAGGAAACATAGTGAGTTGATGAAAACACTGTAAACTCAATGAAATGTGATCTGCTTTACCTCTCCTTCCTTTCTTGTGCTTTAGTCTGTCTCTACACTTATTTTCTCCATTATCTGCTCTAAGATGTGTTTTTTGTTACACCCCAACCCTCATCCATTCCTATTCCACTTACCCATTTCAGTCCTTATATTTCACTCATCTGTCTTGCTGTAGTTATTAAGTTCAGCCATGCAGTTTTCTGGGTCTTTTATCACATCTTGTGCTCCTGCTGGGTGAAAATGCTTCTCATTTTTCTCCATAATTTCTTCCTTCCCCAACAACTTCTTTAAGTCCGCCCTCCTCAGTTCCTTTCTGTCTTTTCATCTTAAAATGTTAAGAAAAAAACATAATGTGCTTTGAAATATTGGAAAATCACAGTTATTGTGTGCCATTACTATAATTACTGTAAACAGGCAGGATTATTACAGAGACATTTTTGCCCAAACAGTCTCCACAAAGCCTTTTTTTTTACCTCATGTTGCTAGTTAAAATGTGCAGGAAAGCTAAATGTGAGATTATGCTTGCCTTTTATATTAAACTGAGGTAAACATCGTGTGTCTGGTAATTATTGCTGGAACAGCAAAAGAAAAAGTAAAAATCAAACTTAAGGCAATACATTGACTTGAACCTCTTCACTGTTATTCTAAATTTGCTTACATGTTATTGGCTACTGTTATGTTTTTACAAGGGCATAATGGAAGACTCTGCTTATTCTAATAATATTAGAAAATAACCCTTTTCCTCTGTATTCCACAAACACTAAAATAAGGGAAACTTTTTAGCACTAAGAAGCTGTTTCTCTCAAAGTAATGTGTTATTGAGATTTTATCAGCCATGCGTTCAAATTGTACAAAAACAACCCAGTTATTGACCATTTGGATTTGCAATAAAATTTGGTTTTAAGTTAAAGTATTTGCAATTTACTTGATACACTGCTAATTTGTATCATAATTCAATGTTTAACTTAAATATATATTAAATATATAAAGAAGTAAGCATGAAATAAATACAAAGTAAGTAAATTACCATTATTTATAAATAACAAATTCAGGAAGAAGAAATATTTTTCCAATACACATTTTTCTACATCAAACTTAATCATGAAACCAATCCTTATAGAATAGACTGTATTACTTTGCTATAAAGTCCCTCCGGTGGCAGTACTTGCTGTTTACTGTATTTAGCAGGTGCAGTACCCACAAAAACCAGCAAGATCAATGTAAAACGTGGAAATGCCAGAAAAAACAGTAGAAACTGCTGACCTCTCACTTCCAAAATGGCCAAGTGAAAGATTTTTTTATAAAAGAATTTATGATTGAATAATATTAGGTGTGTTTATGGGCTTAACACAGAATTAGGTTTAGCTGCTGCACCCAAAGAGACGTGGCGATGTGGAAACCAGCCTGCCTGTGAAGCCATTACAGATCTTCAGTTTAAATAAGAGATATAAAAAACATTGTTTTAACCAATAAAAGCTGAATCCATTTGTTTTTTTTTGTTGGAACAGTGACTGCTGTTTGATTTGTTCATAAATTGTAATTCATTTTTGTTAAATTGCTTAAAAAGGATTAGTTCTTAGTTTTTTTTAATATTTTAAACTCAGGTAAATCCTGAAATATGCATAAATATTAAGTTCCAGTTCTTATTTTATTATAAATATTAACCATAATAATCATTTTACATTTTATTGTCTTGGCTCACTTGTCCCATCACACACATCAGAAAAGGCGATGATTAGTAGATGATGTCATCAGATATATAATCCTTTTCATTAATTTTATATTTGATTATTATAAAATTTAACATCCAGTATATTTGATAAATGAACTCCCAGTTATAAATGCTGTGATAAGAGTAAATGTATTCAAATTTGTTGATATTTTTGATCATAGAAAAGTAACTGAATACATTAATTTTCTTTGTAACTACCTTGATTAAGCAGTGATAGATTTACGCCGTTAGTCTTTGGAAAAATTAACTGTGACTACTTGCATTTTTAAAGTAGCATGATCAACACTGCTTGTCACTAAGGCCAAATAGATCGATATTTATCTCTTCTAGCTACAGACATATAATCTGGAAATCCTAATTGATCTTTACATTGTTGATTCTGGAGCTTCCTCCTTGCTGTGTCTTTTTTCTGTCAATATTTATGTAAAATAATTTCGCTTGTACCCTAAATTTCTCCAGCTTTCATGCCGGTTATATACTTTATTGCAGACATTTCATTGCAGATAGATGATGCATTAAGTCAAAAGTGATTTTTATTGTTTGTATTATGGGAAATAATCATTATCCTTTTACATAAAGACTTTGTTTCCAGAAAAGAGTTCTTACTCAGAAAGGAAATTAATATCTTTTTGTCCTTCGCATAAAATATCATTTCTGCTAAAGGACATATAGGATTATGATTTCTGTTATTGCCATGCCTGCAGCCAATCCTGTCTGGATTTCTGTCCACTGCATATTGATTGATGCATTTATGATGTTCCCTCTGGACATTTTTTTTCAGTTTGCAGGAACTGATCTTTGATTCAGCCTATCGGGGTGTTTTCTATTTGTCTCTCCATATCTAACCATCCGTGTGCCTCTGCCTGTATGTGACTATTTGTTGCTTCACCATGGTGTGTGTGGAAGAGCGGGATGATCTCTGAAGCCACTGTAGCCCCAGGCGGCTTGAAAGAGACAGTGAACATTTACTTGTTAAATTTATTTCTAGCCACACAAACTCATATGGAAGAACAATCAACCTATTTCTTTATTCAGACTCAAAAAGAGGGCAGTTTAACCCTCAGTCAACCCAAACAAATATTTACAGCAAACCGTACATTAGAAAGTCTAAAAGATTGAGAAGTTAGTAGTATTGACCTTACCTGAAAATGTATGTTTTGACCGTTTCCATTTCATTTTTTATTCATAATTTCTGTTCATAATTTCCTTTTGCATTATTTTTCTTTCAACTGAATAATGAAATGGGATATATAATGATGTAACATGTTTTTTACAGTTTCATAAGTGTCTGAAATACTGCAAAGTGATGAGGAGAGTGGTGGGTGCTAAGTGACGTTACCATGTACAATAAAGACATCTATAATAGAAAACCTAAGAGACATTATGTCATGATGACACACAATTTGCCCATGCTCTTAAGCCTAAGAAAAGTGGAATACACTTTGCTGTCCTTGAATGAGCTTACTCCCCCTCAGTCATGTCAATTTGTCAATTCAGGCCTTTTCTCTATCAATGTTTCTTTTCTTTCCCTTTACTGTCCTCCATTTAGGGGCAAATTACACTTCATAACACTTGCTTCTCGCTCCATGTGTCTCTTTGCAGGGTGATGAAGTGCTGACCGTCATTAAAACCAAGGCTCAGTGGCCGGCATGGCAGCCACTCAACCTGTAAGTACCACACAATGTCAAAAGAAAGCTTGTTACTTCTGTAAGAAATGCGATGAAATAAAATTTAAGTGACAATTGTTTGAAACAGCAGTGAAGATTTACATAAACCTGGCTTAAAAGAGTTTTGTGTCTAAATTAGTGCACATTTAGTTGCTGGTTTTACATGTGATTTGTTGAATACGACCTATGAAAAAGTCTTAAGTGTCTCGATCAGTGTTTACATAGATAGAATAACATTTGAGGAAGAGTAATCAACCTCAATAAATCAAAAGGAAATAGAGACAGACCAATAAATCGGCCAGCCGATATTTTGGCCTGATATTTGCAAGTTGGGGGGGGTGTGTTGGTATCTGAGCATGTGCTGAGCACGTGCTGAGTGATTCAGCAATGCGTTCAGCAGCCATGGTGAATAAATATTTCTTTTTTTTTAAATGACACTTCTCTAATATTGGTTATTGTTATCATTCTGTTAACATTTGTTATCATTTGCATTGGCCTTAAAAAAAATCCTGTATTAGTTGATCACTAAATAGGATGATATTCTTTTACATATTCTGCCTTTTCACTGCACTGCATGCTGTGTTCAGCTCTGTGGCTTTTTAGATGCCTCCTGACCTCACCTTAAGGCAAAGTTATATAGGGAGATGTAAAAGAAAATACTATCTATGGATTTATTATTTTGTACAATCAAGAGTCCTGACCGAAAGAAAAAAAAAACATTAAAATGCAAAATAGAAAATCTGTCATTTAAAGGAAGGCTTAAAGTTATGATAACAATACGAATCCACATAAAGGCAAGAGAGTCTTTAAAGGTGGAACCAGCATGGCAGGCCCCTATGCATGCAGAGGGGTTTGTTCTCTGCCCATCTCCAAAAGTAAAATAAAGGTTACAAAAAAAGAATACTTCATACTAAATAGTAAATTCTAATCATGGTATGAAAGCTTGTGTGAGCTTGGCTGTTTATTGTCTGTGGTACCCTGTGATGCACTGGAATATGTCCAGAAAACTGCTCATATTAGCACCCACCCACCCCAGCCACCGACCCACCCAGACACACACAAACAGACACAGACCCAAAAAGCACATGGTGTGGTTAGGACCATCAGTTTACTTCTATTGACTTTCTATTGATTTCTTTCTATGCCCTATACTTGAAAATAACCCTAATCCTTAACATAACCAGTACATAAACCAAGACTTAGCTGAATTTAAATTCACACCTTATTCCTAAACCTAACCGTTAGAACAAACGCACTGATACAAACAATCCTTGATTTGAACGACACCACCAAGATCAACAGGACGCTTACCAGAATGCCATCCGAGCTGGAGAAGTGTGGCCAGATGGTGACACAGACAGGGAAGGTAACCCATACAGATGGGATTCCACTCCCAGAAGAAGGAAAATCAGATGTAGAAGAGAGCTTTAAATGCCTTGTTATACCAATGTAAATCGAAAAACCATGATGGGGCCATAAGAAAAATAACAAAACATCTGACAAGTAAGGCAAGTTTTGAGAAGTCAACTCAATGCAAGAAGGAGGTCCAGTCAATCAACAGCTATAACTTGCCAGTAATCAGACACCCTGCTGGGACAATAAGTTGGCCTAACGAGGAAATTCAGGCCAGTGATGTTAAAACAGGGAACCTACTCACCTTGAATGCTAGATTCAACCCCGAATCCGGTATATACAGATACTACACACAAAGAAGGAGGCAGAGGCTTAGTGAGCATCAGAACCAACACTGAAGATGAAACATATATGCTTCAAGAATCAGGAAGATAGCCCCAAGGGATGGATCTCTCAGTGAATGTCTCAGACAATGGAGGACTGGAAGGGAAGGAAATGGAGGAACCATCATGTGAGGAAAAACTCCTGAATGGAATGTACCACTAGCTGATAGCTGAAGTGGCTGATACGACCAAATCTTACCATTGGCTAGAGATCGGTGGACTGAATAACAGCACAGAAGCACTTACCATGGCAGCACAGGAGCAGACCTTTGAGCACCACAGCAATAGAGACCCGGATCTACCATACCAGGTAAGTTCCCAGGTTCAGGATATTCAAAGAGGCTTCAGTAACAATCCAGCATCTCTTAGCAGATTTTGAGATGCCAGCAGGAAAGGAATACATGGAACGTCATAACCAAGGGGCTGGTATAGTGTACAGACAGATCTGTGTAGAATACAAACTGGACACCCTAAGTTCAAAATGGAACCTGCACCCCAAGGTGGTGGAGAATGACAGAACTAAGATCCCGGGGGACTTCCAGATGCAGAGACAATGGTTCTATCCAACTAATCAAACATTGTGATCATTAATAAGCAGCAGAGGATGTAACGATTGGCGTCCCCCAAGGCTGCAGCAGCAGAGACGGCGTCCCGTAAGGTTGCAACGGCAGAGACGGCATCCTCCAAGGCTGCAGCAGCAGAGACGGCGTCCCGTAAGGTTGCAACGGCAGAGACGGCATCCTCCAAGGCTGCAGCAGCAGAGACGGCGTCCTCTAAGGTTGCAACGGCAGAGAC